AAAAAACAAAAAAAACCACAAACAAACGGTGAAGGTGTGTCGATGGGGATCAAACCGTGAGGGCCCTCAGGACAAAAAAAAAAGAGACGATACACATGATAGGGGAGGCGAGGCGTGTGTGTGCACGGAAGTAACGGATGGCCTCCGACCATGTTTTTTATTTTATTTTATTTTTGTGGGTGATTCTCCCGACACCCCGGCAGGGTTCTTTTGCGCTTCATGCGCCAGGAAAGAGAAAGGGATCATGAAGGCATGCGGAGAGGGAGAAAAAAAAAGGCCTTTGTGACAAAGAAGAAGAAATGTTTTTGAGGGTTGAAGGGAAACACACAGCCCTGCGTAATTTTCTGCGAATTTATCTGTTTAGAGGAGGGGTGGCCACATATTTTTATTTCTATGGCTTGGACGCAACCCGTGTGTTTCCGTGCCATCGTTTGTGATGGCTGCTGCTTGTGTGTGGTGCCTTTCCCCGTCGTTGCTGCGGCTGGGGCACCATCTTCGTCTATTTTTTTTTCCTTCTTTTTTTATTGTTGTTCTTCTACCTGCTCGTCTGCCGCAAGGTTGAGGATACCTTTTTAAGCTAATCTGGAGGGGTAGGAGCAGCGATCAACCCTGCCGCCGCCAACAATGATTTACCAACCACTGATAGTCGCATGGTGTGTTGCCATCCTGCTGCTTGCCGTCACGGGCGCAAATGGCCTGTACGTGCTGGAGCTGGTGCAGGTGATCCACCGCCGCGGTGCAAGTCCGCCGCCAGTGGGCACACCCAACCGTGCCAAGATGTGCAGCCCCAATGGTTCAGGCAGCTGCAGCGCCATCGCAAATCGAGGCGTGGAGCAGATGACGGCCATGGGGGCCTACATTCAGCAGCTCTACAACGGAGACGGATCCACCTCTGGCAGCGCCACGTGGTTTCAGTCGCCGTATGATGTGTCTGCGGTATACACCCGCTCTCTCGCGGACCCCGCCACGGTTCAGGCGGCGGCGGCGCTGCTGAGGGGTGTTTACGCCAATGAAGGTGCCTCCGCCGTCCCGGTGATCATTTCGGCACCGCCCGACCAGGACACCGTGCTTAACGTGGATGCGTTTCCATCGGTGAGCGTCAGCAAGGAGATCAACGCGGCCGCGCGCAATGAGGCATTGGCGGCAATTGTTGACGAGAATTTCCCTGATGCCGGTGTGCTGAGCGCCATGGGCGCGGAGGTAGGCCTGGATGCCGTCTGTTCGGCGGCCGCCACCAAGGTGGCGTGCTGCCAGCAGCTGCAGAAGCTGGCGACGATGTACGCGGCGGTGGGAGCCACCGACGGCGCCCCCACCGTGACGGCGAACAAGGCCAAGCTGGATGCCGTTGCCGCTGCGGAACTTCGCGCATCGCAGGGGTACGACGCCAACTCGCCCCTGATTGCGGCGCGCGGAAGCCTTGGCCAGCCGCTTGTGCAGGAACTGCTTCGCAACATGCGCCAGAAGATGCTTCCCGAGAAGGACGCCAACCGCAACACGAAGAGGCTGTTGCAGTACGCTCACCAGGTCCCCGTCGGTACGACCCTTGGGCACAATGCGAGCGACGCGACTCCAGTAGGCGAGACGTTTCTGATGGACCTTTTGCGCGACGACGCGACGCACGCCCGTTTCGTGCGGCTACGGTACGCAGTGGTAAAGGATGGTGCCGCTGCTGCTGCCGTCTTTCCGTTCCGTTGCCTAAACGCGGCCAAGGTGCCGACGGACGCCACCACGGCTGACGGTATCATTTGTCCGTTCGACGACTTTGTCCGGTTTATTGAGTCCAGCGGGGGCACGAACCCGGCCGGTGCGGTGTGCTACCTTGACGAGAGGACGAAGAGGGAGTTCAAGTGCGACGTGGATGGCGCCGCCCCATCGCAGGAGTGTGCCCGCTACCGTGCTCTGTGCCCGTTGCAGGCGTGTCCCGAGGGCCATATTTACGATGCGGGGAGCGGGTCGTGCAAAATCGGGGTGCTGTTGAGCAACGTGATGTCGAACACTGCCGGGGTTGGTGTGGGCTTTGCTGCAGTGGCGTGTGGCTTCGTGCTTTCCTTGTTCGTCATGCAGCTATGCCCAATGCTGTTTTTGAAGGGCTCCAGTGACGTGCAGGGCCAGGCCCCCGCAACCGTGGACAACGCCCTTGTTTCGAGACAGTAAGGTCGATGGGAGAGATATGCCGGCGCCAAGGTCAACGAGTCCCCGCTTTGCTGCAGTGGTGTCGTGGTGCAGAGGAGGGCAGGCGGCAGAAGGCGAGCGAGAAGGTGCGATGCGGGGCGTTGTCCGCGGTTGTCGTACGTGAAGATCGGGATGTGTGCGGAGATGCGAGGCAGCAGGAGGGGCGGGAAGGGACGAGAGGAAGCAGGGAAGGTCGAAGTATACTTCCCGCAGAGAGCGAAGA